TAATTTCTCGTTCTTCTTGTTTCTTTTCTTGTTTATTTTGCTGTTCGAGCTGCCATTGTTGTAGGTTTTCTTGCCACTGCTGTAATCTTTCTTCTTGTTTCTTTTCTCGTTCTTCTTGTTTCTTTTCTTTTTCCTCTAACAACTGCTGTAATCTCTCTTCTTGTTTAATTTCTCGTTCTTCTTGTTTCTTTTCTTTTTCCTCTAACAACTGCTGTAATTTCTCTTCTTGTTTATTTTCTTTCTCCTCCAACAACTGCTGTAATCTCACTTCTTGTTTCTTTTCTCGTTCTTCTTGTTTCTTTTCTTTTTCCTCTAACAACTGTTGTAATCTCTCTACTTGTTTAATTTCTCGTTCTTCTTGTTTCTTTTCTTGTTTTTGTATTGCTGCCATCAAGTCTGCTAAGCTGTAGTTTGATTTTCCGCCTCTCGTTTCCATTTTTCTTCTCTTTTTTTTTCTATCCCACTCTCTGACACCAATTTGTTACCTCTCCGTTTGTTAATTAACTTTCCGTAACTTCGTTACTACGAAACTTTAGCGACACAAGTCCTTACTTAATAAAACTGGTTTATTCTTTCCGAATATAACTTTACCGATACACTCAACTTCAACAATCACGCTAAAACAAACGCTATAACGAAAGTTAACTTCAACGATACTTTCTCACTGCAGATCAATTACTCACTGTCTACACACATTACATTCCCGTCACGCTGTCACCCTCTTTTATATACCAGTCTACCCTATATCTAGTAAATGCTAGAGCATTCGCCAAAGTACAGGATAGTTCTAGAAAGTAGAGGGCGTGAGAATAGTCACGTGATCTCGATGACGCAACAATATTCTTTCCACAATATCAAAGAAAACAATAGGTTCACCGTGTTACTCACTTGATGTACTGTAGAATATCCTAGCAGCTTTATGCCTCTTCCAGTGACGAATTACATGCTTGTGAATATTTCAGTTTAAAACCAAATGAAAAATATTCTTTAGCAGCATTTAGAAAACACAGAACAAGTGGTGTTCTTTCTCAATGCAGTATAAGCTCATCACTTTTGCATTAGGCCCGGCATGGCAATCTGAGGGTCTCGGGTTCGAATCCTCGTCCCACCAAACATGCTCGCCCTTACAGCCGTAGGGGCGTTATAATGTGAGGCTCAATCCTACTATTAGTTGGTAAAAGAGTAGCCAAAGAGTTGGTAGTGGGTGATGATGACTAGCTGTCTTCCCTCTAGTCTTTCACTGCTAAATTAAGAACGGCTAGCGCAGATAGCCCTCGTGTAGCTTTGCGCGAAATTCAAACCAACTTTGGCATTACCAAACATACACATCCCAGTATTTCAAGCCATTTCTTTATTTGTCTGAAAATTGTTTTTGTGTATGTATCACATTCACGTCCATAATGAAGAAAACATAAACTTGTCCACAAATAATACAAGGCACATATGTATTGTTGCGCCAGCGAGTCACATGACCACTGTGACGCC